ATATATATATATATATATAATTTAACAGATTTATTATTTATCAAAAATCTTTACCAAAAAATAACTTTAATAGGCTTAAAAAAATATATATATATATACATTAAAAAAAAGTATAAAAAGATCACATTTTTTTTTTATTTACAAATACTTTAAAATGTAATATTAACTTTTATTTGTTTATGATTAATAACTTTTTTTTTTCCAAAATTCATGACAACAACGCAATAACTTTATTTAAAACCTAACGTTTTATCGGAAATCTCAAAACCTCCAACTCCAATACAAAAGGTTATAGGCTAAAAAATTAATTACCCGTTTACAATATTAAAAAAACAGCTATAAAACACAAGAACCCTAAGCTAGTGCACATTGAAGCTTGTATGAATTCTATGTAGACTGTTTTAATTTTCGGGACACCACCATCTGGAGTCGTCACGTGATCGTATCACTTCGGTGTTTGTAGTTCCGATATTTTGTCGCACAACAAGATAGTCTTACCGACTTCACATAAAATAAATTTTGTCGCACAACATTTTTATATAGCGATCATGTGTAATATATTTGTTTGACAAATGAAATAATAAAATGGCGTAACTTCTAATTTCGGAATCCCCCTTTTCTCTCCTTTCTTTTCGTTTAACAATATGACGTGTTCAAAGTTATTTTCAGGAGATTTACCAGAGTTAATAGACGATATTATACAATATTTTCATTATGATTATAAAACATTACATTCGTGTATATTGGTTAATAGATTATGGTGTAGTTTAGCAATCCCATTATTATGGGAAAATCCTTTTTCAAGTCCAACTAAAAATTATCATTGTATTGAAATTTATTTACATTATTTAAATGATGATGATAAAACGAAATTAAATGAATATGTAATTCATAATGAATTATTTCCTACAAATACATTATTTAATTATCCTAAATTCATTCAACATTTAAATACATATGAAGTTTATAATTCTATTGAAGAATGGTTTGAAGCTGTTAGTTATCCAATACTCAAACCAACCAAAAAGTCAGTTTTCAATTATTCTATGAAAAAAGCAAATTTATCATATAGTTCACAATTGTTAAAATTTAAAAACCTAGTTTTTAGGTCATTATTTCTATTATTCATTGAAACCGAAGTCAATTTGCATAGTTTTGAAGTTATTTCTGTACATAGCGATGTTGATAAGATTATTGAATTAACTTTACAAAATCCAAATTTCATTTTTAATATCAAAAATTTTAAATTAGCCAGTAATGTGATGAATAATAATATAACAAGACTTTTAACATTAATCTATTCTAATTGCAATTCAATCTCATCACTTTATTTTCAATTTCCAATATATGAAAAGGATCATTCAATAATTGAAATAGTTGAAAAAAGTTTATCACAAATAATTAAATCTCAAGTAAATCTTAGAAAGATTTCATTTAATTGTAATGGTTACTCATTAAACCATTCCTTACTATCATTAAAAAACTCCAATTGCTTAAATACATTAAATACAATTGTATTTTGTTATGTTGATTTTAAAAATATAGATATTTTAAGTGAAGTATTTAATCAATTGAATGTTTTAGAATCAATTCATATTCTTTATTGTTATTCTCTAGATTCTAAATTTATTCAACAGATTATTAATATTACAAAACCATTTAAATTAAAATCTTTATTTTTGAATAAAATGGATGAATTATTAGAACCATTAATACAAAAGTCTGGCAGTTATTTAGAAAATCTTGTCCATAATTCCCAACCATTACCACAATTTATTATAAAATATTGTAGTAAAATTAAAATTTTGTCTTCTTCTTTGAGATATATTCAAAATAATTATTTAGAATTCAACTTAATTGAAAATATTAAACAAAATCTTAATTATCTTATAATTGATGGTACCACTCGCTATTTTGATAGTATTGAAGATATTGTTGATAATAATATTGATGATTGTATTGAATCAAGTTCAAATATATTACAAAATTTGGGACAAATTCTTCCTTTTAAATTAGAATATTTGGAATTGCGTCTTGCAATTAATGGAAGTGATTTGGAAACATTTTTAAAAAATTCTCAAAATACCTTTATTAAAAAATTGTTAATCAAAAATATTAAAGTAACAGATGATATTATTCTTTATATAAAGGAATATATTGTGAAAAAGAAAAGGGTTAAATATTTGTCTATTATAGAAAGTATTAAATTTGGGCGTTTTTATTCTCTGTGTTATGAGATGAAGGGATTTGAATTGTATGGTATTCAAGTTTTAAATTATTTTGATTTGTCAATAGATTTGTCAATACATTTATTTGATTTTGTACAAGAACTAATTAAGGAATAAAGTTTACTTTTTTCATGATATTTTTTTTTTAAAATTTTGCTTGTATATATGTTATTACACTTTTACCAGTGTGTATAATAATCTTGATTTAAAGAACTTGTCCTATAGGACCGTGCAATAAATAAACTTACTGTACACCCACCTAAATCATTTAAAATTATTTATTCTTAAGTTGATAAAAATAGCAAATGAAAAAGTATTGTATTTACTGAATTGTTATAAATTTATAATAACTATTTTGCCTAATTTTCAAATATTATGTCATAAGATTTATTTATATCCAGTCTCATGCGAACTCAAGAAGTTTCAAGTTCTTGACAATCAATTAAACCTTAATGAGTAGAGTCTGTTCATAGCTTTATATTTTTTCCATTTTTCTTATTTTATCATTTATCAACAACGTCTTTAGATCCCTATTCATTGAAAAGCAGTCTACTAGACACTTATTTTAGTTTCAAATTTATTAAACTTATTAACAACTTCTTTAAATACTAATGACTAAAATAGCAAGTTCCTTGTTTATTTTAAATTTGATAGAGAAAACAAGACAATTTTATCTTAAAGTTAAATTTCCTTTCGCCTTGTATTCTGTCGCATCTATATTATTATCAAATAGTACTATTCGCTAATTCTCATTGCATGGGCGCCCGAGACGATATTTAGAGTACAGAGATAAAGAGCACAACTCTATTGATCTAGGACAAAAATTTGTTATTATTCAAGAATTCATTCAAATGTGGTTATCACTCGAGTACTCACTTGTAACGCATTCTGCGTGGTGAAAATATTATTCAGAAGGTGATGGACGATATGATTTTCTCACATTATTAACATAATTTCGAAGCATCATCTCTTTGGTATATTCGTGAGTATATCAAACCAAGCCACAGAATCAATGTATAGGTGTAGATTCCGTTCTGATTCATTAGAGCGTAACATAATTCAGACAAATTTACGACTGCCGCAATTAATTTTATTGTAAACCATATTTGTTGTAAGTTATTAAAACAAGTTTATTTAATAAGGATGAAAATTTTTTTAAAAAATTTAAATAAAAAAATAATTTAAATGAGAATTTGCTTAAAAAAAATAATAATAAATAACTTAAATGAAAAACAAGAAAAAACTAATCTACTTTCCCTCTAAGGAGATCAGTATTCTGATTGATTTAGAATCGCAGTATTGATTTGTACCAAAATGTCGTGTCCAGGAAGACTGCAAGAACTGCCTAAAAAAAAGAAAATGTAGAAATATTTCGTTGATTTTTTTCTTTAGGATCTTAAAAAAGGGAAACCATTATTTTAATTGGCTCTTTAATTAAATATAGAATTTAGAATTTTCGTGAGATTAGTGATGAGAATTTATTTTCTTTCTTGAATTTTTCATTTTATTAATTAATTATTTTCATGATGAAACTCGGGAATTGCTATAACTTTTATCAAATTTAATAAAGGTTCAACCGGAAGAAGGGGTTTTTAGAATAATTCAACTGATGTTTATCAAATTCTTAATATTAGAAGATGCATATTCACGATCAGAAAGAATTCATTTAAATTCAGACAATTAATAAATAGAATTAACAGAAAAAGAATAAATATGATAAATAATCAAATATATTAATTAGTTACGTTAATATTTTGCTAATTATTATTATTAACACCATATACAGATTGCGCTATATAGTTGTTGGTGTCAGATGATCTCAATTTATATTGTTGTACGTAATTAGCTATAGTTGATTATAGTACATTCCCAAAAAGGAAGCATCATAAAAAAAAAAAAATTTGATATCGATATCAATATCAATATCAATATCAATATATCAACATCAACATCAACATCAACATCAATATTAACAGAAAGAGTTTATATTAGTTTTGAATGAGATATTGACGATGATCAGGATCTGTGGCATGATCTGGATTGGCAGTTATCTTAATAATTTTAGCTATAAATATATCTAACTTATAACTTTTATTTTGTGACAGTATTATATTATTTGTGCACAAAATTATTAAAATTTTTGATGCCTAGACAATTTTTCGATTACATTGTATTAGTCATCCAAATTAAAAAAATGAGCCTTTTTTTTTATTTTTATTTATAAAGGTAAAAAGATAAAAATAAAAAAATATTTTATTAACAAAAAATAGTGCTTTCTTTGTTAATAAATAACAATAACTATTTTAAATAAATATAATTTAAAACTATCCGGATAATCTAATGGATCATCTAATAACCATCAAATAAACTGGCTAATTACTATTTTTTCAATATTAATAAATGATTTTTAAATATTTATTGTAAAAAAAATAGTGAATATTACTTTCTTATTTCTAAGGTGATATTATAAAAACTAGATAATAGATTGAAAACTAGCCAACATTAAATTGGATGGTCAAGATAAATTAGTAGCATGCTATATTAATTCTAGTAAGCGGAATTTTAATATTTTAGTATATTTTTATTATTAAATAATAATTAAATTACTTTACTTTATTATTTTATTAGTTTAGCTTTTATATTTTTTGTTGATTTAATGATTTTAGTAAAAGGATAGGCTGCCGCGGAAAATTTAATAGGGTTTTTTTTGATTATTAACTTTTTTTATTATATTTATTTTTTTTATGGTTTTTACTTTAAATCACTGGAGTGATCATCATCGTTGGCCAGAATTATCAATTTTTACCGGCACTATATTTTTTTAATGCTGGTCGATTGTCATAATTTCAGTCACTGGTGATAATTAGAAATCAGCTACTGCGATAAATTATATGTGCAGGTGGGTTTTTTTGATTATTAATTATTAATTATTTTTTTTGTTATTAATTATTCATCAACATTTTTCTTTTATTTTACTAACTTTTTTTTTATTATACTTATTTTTTATTAAATTTATTTTATTTAATATATTTAATAAATTTATTTTTTATAGGATCAGCTGCTGCGGCAAATTTGATATTTTCAAGTGAGTTTTTTGATTATTAATTAGCAATTAATAATTTTTTTTTATTAAATTTTATTTATAATTTAGGTTTGGCCTCTTTTGGTGAAATTATAATCAGGATAATCAAAAAGGATTTGGTACCCATATTAAATTTTTTGGGCTAGTAATATTATACTCTTTCGGGCTCTAACTTAGATCGGATGAAAGGTTCGGGTAGCATACTATGGTTTATGACAATAATTAATGGAGTTGTTATTCTTATTAGACGGCATACTATAGTGTATGGCGATAATTGATCATCAATTTTAGTTGTTGTGACTAAGTTGTATGCACTGTATCATCGATTTTCAGCATCAACAAAATTTGGTGCAGTATCATACTGGCAATAAAAAATCAACATACCATTATTATAACGCATTAAGCAACTAATTTCTTAAATATAAGGCAGAATGGAATGTTGTGAAAATGAATCGTAGAGGTAAACATAAATAAAAAATATTGCATTGATTATTTTTTTTATCTCATTTATTAATCCCGAATTTATGCTTTTAGGCTCGAAATTACTTAATCTCAAAGAAGTTTTCTTGTGAGAAATATTATTTTATATTGTATAGGTGGGAGTGATATAAATAGATGGAAATTCCGTAAATATGTGTTTCGGAGTTCTATTGTAGAAAAAGAGTATGGGGTAAGAAATAACTTGATGCTGGGACTTATTGAATGGTCTAGAATCCGCGTACTCCCTCCCTCTTTTATAGCATCACATGTTTCGTTTACTACTCTTACACTCTCTTATTGTATTTATTATTTACCTATACGCATTATATATTTTTTATCGCAAATTCGTAATAATAAATTCAGCATCACGTTACATAAAGATATTTTCTCGCTTTTATATTTACATTTTTACAATTAACACAAATATTAACTAAATACTAATAAGCAATTATTTCAGTTATAGTGTATAAAACTAACTAAGATTTAATGGTATGGCCTCATCTGTAATATATTTAATGGTACCAGAGCTATCTACATATCGGACATTAATTAGAACATTTTCAAGTATCCGGTTGTGAAAGCAGTGTATAACATTAATTCTATCATCAGGTGGCCAATGAAGTTTCTTATGAGTTGCAGTTGCATAACGATCTTCACATGTAAAATGTACTATCCAAATATCGTCCGCAGATAGTTTTTCAGCATACTCAAGTACTCTTTCAAAGTGTTCATCAAGGTCTTCCTTTGTTGCGGTGGCTAAAAGTTCGAGAACAATTCTTTGACGTTGCGTTGTAATTACTATATCGCTATACGTATGAACATGTTTTTTGGCATGACTTTCTACCATATGCCACTGTCCAGTGACCTCAAATCCATTATTTCTGACAAGCCAATTAACTAGGATCCTGATAAGCTCTGTGTTGTAAACATTTTCTTGAGGGACTTGAGTTTCTTTTTGACCATCTACATACAACGTAGATGCAACTTTAAATGACTTAATGAATGCATTAGAAATGATGTCTTTATCAAAGAACCGGATAGCCGTCTGCAAAATCTTGAGAATATCCAGGGTATCATTTTTTTTTAAGGGGACTGCACATGTCGGGGCAGACTTGTATAATGCAGGAATAAGTCGTCGCTGAATCAGATCATCTACAAAAATAGATGACATTCTGAAATTATTCTTTTTCGTTTCATCCCTCATTAGCACCCCCTCGGCTGTCAAAAATTCTGCTAGTTTTTTTTCTTCAGAGTCATAGATTGGCACAAATTTGAAAGATCCTAAGAAAACAGATCGAAGAAGTTCTATAGCAGGCCTGACTTTTTTCTTTTGAAGTATAATAATCATCCATCTGAAGGTGTTATAATCAAATATCGTATCTTGCATAGAATTGATAACAAAGTTTAACCAGGTTAAGGAGGTGAGCCTTCTATTTTCATCAAGTTTTGACATTAAATCTGAATTGATAGCTTTTCCGCAAAGGCAGACAAGGGCAGCATGCCTGTCAAAATAACCAAATCATGAATTAAATTTCAGATTTTGATTTCACGCAACTCTCTATCAGCTTCACATACCCATTTGTCCGATTGTAGATATCCTCAATGATCTCCGGGTCAATTGTCAATTTGAAGTCATCCTCAAACTCCTTATATACTGACTGCACTTGTTCCAGCGTGAAATTTGGGTTCCTAAATGGATTGTTAATGTTGAATGGAGACGTGGTTATTCTGTCTGAACTCAAACGTAAAATACTAAAGAGACCGATGGCTACCGAAGACAAGAGAGCATAATTTTCCTTTGTGTTTTTAATAGCATGAATTACCTCAAAAAATGAGGATTTAATATCATCATGTGCTTCAAACAATATATCGAACTCATCAATGAAGAGAACAACACGATTATCATTCCATTGTTCTTTCAGAAACTTTAGCCGAAAATCACCAGAAGATTTGACATCAGCTTTTCCAAAGTATTTAGGAGCACTAATGTGAAGTGCAAAACCCATTGACGACCAGAAACTATCTTTGGTTTCCATGTTAATCTGCTCCAAAGTTACACTGTTTCGAGGGAAAAAACAACAGTTTATACTGAAAGCAACGTGATCAGAAAGTCAGAACTTACTAAATAGAACTTACTAAATGCAAATAATGCCCTGGCTTTTCAACTTTTCCATAACTTGATCCACACGTGTAGATTTTCCGGAGGCCCTTGCACCATATAAAGTCACAAATTCTCCTTTCAGAATCATATCAAGGAGTGGAACATTCGTCTCCTCTAGATCAACAAAATATACATTATTACGGGATTCATTCTCAATGTTACCATTAACCACCCATCTTCTTTTATCATTAGGATACCGATATTTATAAAATTCTAATTTGTTTCTCAAAAGTTTATTTTTCTGGACTAAATCCTTATTTTCCTGGCTTAAATCCTTATATTCCTGGCTTAAATCCTTATATTTCTGGTTTAAATCCTCCCAAGACTTCCAATTAGGGATGGCAACGGTCGGTCATGGTCGGTCATCGGTCGGCCATAACCGGTCAAGAACCTTTGACCGACCGACCGACCGTTTGACCGACTGGTTAACCGATCCTGAAAACGTTTGCGAAACGTAATTTAATTGAAATACTTAATAAAAAACGTTTTCGCAACGTTTTCTATTAAAATAATTAAAAAAACGTTTGCGAAACATTTTTTTTATTAAATTACGTTTCGCAAACGTTTTCAGGATCGGTTAAACGGTCGGTCAAACGGTCGGTTAACCGGTCGGTCATACCGGTCGGTCAAACGGTCGGTCAGAGGTCTTTGACCGACCGATATCGGTCACGGTCATGACCGGTCATAACCGGTTAATGACCGTGACCGTTGCCATCCCTACTTCCAATACTTTAGAGTTCTTGAAAGTGGCAAATAAGGTCTCGGTGATTGAAGGCATTGAACTTGAGGAGAAACGAAGTGAGTTGGGAAAACGGTCCTACGAAAGACCTGAGTAATTTTTGAGGACATTTTGTACGATTATTCAAAAAATTTTCGTCTTTTACTAACCGCGTCACATGGTAGCTGGATCTAATTTTACGGGTTACATGATTTCGAATAATGATTTAATGCGAAAGTTATGTAGTACGATTGAGAATTTACGGTTAAAATGATCTATGTATGTATTAGTATGTACAGAGATTACTATATAAAGTATATAAAGAAAAAATCATAGTATGATTCGTTTTTTATCATTATATTTTTTTTTGTATACAACCTGTATCTTTTTCATAGGAATTATCCACGTCTTACTTAGATTCTCACTTAGATCGAATCGCTCTAAACCTTTTGCAACCGCTTCTAATAACAACGAAGTATAGAGACATTACCGTTGACTTGAGAAACTAAAACGCTGTCAAACTCTTTAACTTTCTAGCTTGAACTGGATTTTGGCTTTACTGATACTTATATTGCTTCTTCGTATACTTCCTAGAGTTCCAAGACTTGCATCACTATTCCTCTTGCTAGTACGTCATATATTAAGATTTCATGTGACTCTGAAGTCTGAACAATATATTTCTTATCATCGCCTGATCTATCCCTTGAGCTCCTTATCCAGTTTCAGCAACTAGAGCGATTTCAAAGTGTTGAAACATGATATTCTTTATGTTTTCCTTGCCACAAATAATAAAAAATTATTTCTTAATGAAATTGTACTAATAAGAAAAAATAATGATGAAGCATAATGTGATATTAAATGACCAAGTAAGTGAGAAGTCACAATAGGTTTGTTCTAATTACTCATTATACATTTTTTACTAATTAATAAAGTCTCAAATTGACTTGTTCTTAATCGATTTAACAAAAATCGAAATTGATCATTTTGCTATAACTGTTTAGAAGCTAATTCAGTATCGGGTTGGTTTGTCCATAAAAAAAAATTTATATTTGATTAAATCAATCCTATTTTATCGACCATGACTATTTCAACTGGTCATTTTAATTTATAAATGATTTTATCATACATTAACGTACCACAATTTAATATAATTTTTTTTATGTTCTTTAAAAAAAAATGTCATTATTAGTTATTCATAAAAAGAAAAGTGGTTTAAAATTTTTTTTTTATTAACCTATTTATTATAAACTTGATTTAATATTTTTATAATTATTTCTTTATCTTCTAAAATATTAATCTCTTAATTAAAATACGTTTTCATTTAAAAATAAAATTTTTTATATTAAAAAATACGCATATTTTTTTTAAAAAAAGATAATTATTTTGTGCTTCAGATGTCAATTTGCATCATTTGTCACATAACATAAGGTATAATTAACATCAGCCTTGATAAATTTTTATAAAATTTTCATAAAATATATAATTTATTGTGATATATAAGGTTTACAGAATAAAAAATAATTTCATTAATAAAAGTGCTAATTATGAAAGACTTTCGCGGCCTATATTTAATAAATTGTTGTCATCCTGACATATTTGATTATGCTATCTTTTACTTTTTAAATTTCATTTCAAACACTTCCATTTACTCATTTTATTATCAATCCCATGCAATAATAAGTATTTGTAATTTTCAAATCATATCGATATGAATTACTACATAGCTAATACAATTCGTTTATAAAATCATGAAGTTTAATATATAGATTATTATAATCTGTGACTTGAATACCATATAATTTAAACTCTTCTACATTTTTTAAATCAAACAGATCATTTCTTTCACTATTAGAAAAAACATGATTATTTTCTATGGCTAAATATGTGACCCTTTTTTCTCTCATAATAGAGTTTTTAATACATGGTAAAAGATTTTCACATGTGTGATAAAATATATTTTTGATTAATAATTTTCTAATGAAAATATTTTGAGAATTATTAATAAATACTTCCAAATCATTTATATTAAATTTAAGAGCTAAACTTAAATATTCTAATCTATTAGGAAGAATTTGTCCTAAATTTCGTAATATAAATGAACTAAGTTCAACGTGACGATCAAAATTTTGATAATTAAATTTAGCGAAATTAATAGAAATATAATTAAGATTTCGTTGAATATTTTTAATTAAATAAAATACTGGAAGAATATTTTGATTATCAAATCCATTTAAATCTATAAACTTGATATTAAAACAATAAATTTTAATTAAATTTAATAATTGTAGTTTCAATTCGTTATTCATTGATGTTTCAAATCCAATATTTTCTAAGTAATCACCAGACTTTTGTAATAATAATTTTAATGGTTCAATTTGTAATATAGATCTTTGATCCATAAGTAAAGATTTCAATTTAAATGGTTTAGTTAGGTTAAAAAGTTGAATAATGGTATAATCTAAAGGATAACAATAAAGGATATGAACAGACTCCAAAACATTTAATTGCTCAAATACTTCACTGAATAAATTAACTTCCAAATTATATAGATAGATATTATGAAATATAATAATTCTTAAAGTATTTAAACAATTGGAATTTTTTAAACTTTTTAGATAATAATAATCACTGTTATCAAAATAAATTTTTTGGAGATTTTGTTGTGAATTAATTAATTTGGATAAATCTTCATCAGCATTATTATACTCTAAAGCATGAATATAAAGTGATGAAATTGAATTACAATTTGAATAAATAAATTTTAGAAATATAAATACTGACAAATTATTAGCTAATCCATCAGAAAGAAATTTAAGATTTTTAATATTAGAAATGAAATTTGGATTTTGTAGGATTATTTCAAATGTAGATTTGATGTAATCATTAATATCTTTATTCCAATAAGTATTTAAAACTTTGAATTCAAAAGTGTGTAAATTAGCTTCATATTCGATAAATATTTTGGTTAATAACAAGAAAATAAACCTTGCCAATGTCATATCTTGGTTATAGTCTTTAGTAAGTTTTCTAAAGTTACCATGTTGTTCTTCAATTGTCAAAAAACTAATATTTTCATTCCATAATTTAATAGAAAGACAAATTTCATGTATTTTTAAACATTTAATAAAACTAGGATAATTAAATAATGTATTTGTAGGAAATGAATCAGTAATAATTCCATATTCGTTTAATTTTGCTTTATCATTATCATTCAAATAATGCAAATAAATTTCAATAAATCGATAATTTTTAGGAAATTTCTTTGAAAATGGATCCTCCCACAATAATGGAATTGCCAAACGACACCATAATCTATTAACTAAAATACATGAATATAAGGTTTTATAATCATTCCTAAGATACGGTAGAATTTCATTTATTAATTCAGGTAAAGCTCCCGAAAATATTTTTGAACATGCCATGTTGTTAAAAGGGGAAAGAGTATTTACGTATTAAAATTTTCAAAACAAGTAAATTTATAAAAGTTTATTTGAGCACAACAGATCAGCTGATCATAACATCATGAGTTCGTGACTCGAACAATGTGGCTTTGATTTGTGTAACATACAGTTATACTATTGTTGTCCGGATCTTACTCTCTGGAGACGAAAATGTAAAATTAGTTTATCTCATTGCAAAACGTCCACAAAAATCACATTTTTAAATCATCTCCACATTCCTTTTTGAACCCCTGAATTACTCTTATGAAATTGTGGGTCACATGCATACTGCGACCTTAAGTTGCCTTATACTGCAAACGTTTATTAATAAAATAAAAATAAATATTTTTATCTTTTTGTGATGTCATGTCATAGTGATGTCATGTCATAATGTTTAGTGTTTAAAAAAAAAAAAAATTTATAGCTCACACATTTCTTTATATATAATGTATTTATCGAAATTTTTAATTTTGGCCGACAAACATTGATAATTCTTGGAATATGCTTGAAGTGTAAAGCGATACTGGATTAAATCTAGATATTTTAACATGTATAATAAATATATAAACTATTTTCAAAAAAGAAAAAAATAATAATAGCTTCCAAATACGAATTCGTAAAAAATATTTAGTTCCAAAGGTTTTAAAAATTTTAAAATTTTTATCTTATAACGTACACTATGTCAATACTCCCGTACTGTATGCTTGTTAATTTTAGTCTACTACTCACTCTGCTTATTATTTATATCTTATCATTATATAGAGGACAAATGAATTTAGCAACATAAATAACTTTATCAAGCAAGTGACATCATTTTTCGAATTAGAAACAAAATTTACTTTATCATTCTTCATATTAGTAGTTTAAATATAAATTTTTTTTGAATATGCGGGCTGGAATTTTAGGTCATTTCGAATTAATAATTTAATATTCTCCGGTTAAAAAGTTGATTGCTAACTTTATATCTATTTATAATTATAAAATTTTCACACTTCTTAAAAATTAACTTTCACAGGTTTAGACTATATTTTATAATAACATGATTTTAACCTTTTGGTTATGTATTCTCAAATCAACTTTATATGAAATTATAAAAAGAAATAAAATATCATGATTTATAATATATTACAGTATTTACATATTAAAATTCAAAGTATGGTTATACCAGAAATCATATAAGCTCCATTAATTAACAATTTATTTAGTTCACCTGTATAATAAAGAAATTTTGATTTAATTGTGTTTAATACTGCGTATTTAATTACATTATTTATGATCTCTTTTCTATAGCAACGCAAATATGAAAAGATGGTATAAAGAATGACATGTGTTATATACTGTACATAAGTTTAATGGGAAATGCATTTAAAACTATGGCGCGCCGACGTGGACAGATTGGTATTTTTTTAATACCAACTTCCACTATTTAAATAATACCAGCTCATGTATTTTAATATTACTGCAAGTGGCAGATTTTTGTCTAAAATGGCAATTTCTTTTTGCATTATTAGACAGATTCATATTTATTTATTACGAACTTTCTCTAATTAAATATTACCAACTCTTGTAATTTTAAAATTGGCAGATCTTTTTT